TGAGTCATGGGAAAGTCATCCCTCCTCTAAAGAGAGAGAGAGTGACCAAGAGGCAGCACGGCGTGGGGCAAAGGTCCCCCCCAAGGGTTTACGAACAGAATCGTCTGGAAGGGTGTTTACATGGCCAGTGCCCACCACACCACACACCTCCCACCCCATCCCCCTCCCCACTGTGATTCTGGTCCTGGAAGTCTTCACGGGGCACGTGGTGGACGCAGGCCACACACTGGGATTTCACTGCTGCCCCCACCACTGTGCAGCTGTAAGACTCTGGGCAAGTTTGCCGCATCGACCTTTGCTGAATCTCAGTGTCATCCTTTGTGAAATAGGAAAACCTATGCACAGGGCTGACAGTCAGAGCGAATGAAATCGGCAGGTAGAACACCTGCCACAGAGTAGACTCTTAATTAAAATGTTTCCTGTCCCCTTCTCCAGTGGTGCATGTCACACTTGGGACATTTTCTCTTTCCATCAGGCCAGAAAGCAAAAGAGAACACAGCAGGGGATTTTGAACAGAGAAAAGGAACCATTTCCCATAAATCAATGTGATAAGAGATGGCATTTTAAATAGAGCCCTAGTTTATGAGTTAAAATCTGCCGTAAAGTCACCTTTATTCATAAGTCAAAAAATTGTAACAAGTCAAATGTCCATTGACTAGATAAATCAATTGTGGTAGTCATTAATACTTACACAGCAATAAAAAATATCAAACTACTGATATGCACAGCAACGTGGCAGACATGTTGTGTAAAAGAAACCAGACACAAAATTACACATTGTATGACTTTATAAATGAAATGTATAAGCAGAATAAATTAACTAATGGTGATAGTAGTCAGAATAATGGCTATATTCTGAAGGTTTTTGACTGGGAAGGGGCATAAAAGAGACTTTAGAGTGATGGAAATATTCTATATCTTGATTTTTTTTTTGGTGTTACTTGGACTTATGTAAAAATCCACTGAGGTATGCACTTAAGGCTAATATACTTTGTTGTATGTATCTTATACTCCAATGGTGGGCAGGGGGAACCTACCCACAGAAGTCTGCAAGAATGTACCACCACATTATCCTGAAGCCCAAAATATGAAGCCTAAAGTTGTGCAAATGGTTCAAAAGTATAGAGCTAGAGAGCAAAAAAATTTTAACCAAAAGTATACAGAGTGAGAGCAAATCAAAATTATTTCAGTGTAGCCTGAGAGGAAACCAAATTTAAATGAAACATGAATAACAGCTAAGATAATAAGAAAAGTGTTTTATTATAGTTCCCTTAATAATGCTCAATAAAAGCATCTTTCAAGTTTTGATATTCCTTACTCTCATCCACACAAAGGTATTTTTGTTTAATCAATTTTTATAGGAAAAACACAATTAAGTCAAAAAGTGCATTATGAACATGTCTAACACCCTTGACAAGTTTTTACTCAAACATTAGAAAATTGGATTATGTGTACCCTATGGTATTTGCAACTCTACTATTCTGTACTTCAGTAATTTCACTTCTCAAGTTCTTTGCTTGCAATTACATGGAGTGGCTCCCAGGTCAGCAGTGGGGCCATTGTGATGTTCTTCACGGGGTTCTCAGACTAAAGCCAACAGAGACAAAACAGAACTGAGGAAACTCAGATCCACTGAGGTGGACCATCCACATTTCCCAGCCCCGTTGCAAAGCAGAAGCTTGAATCTAGTGTCTCACACCACTCAGCCATCCTAAGTCTGCCCTAGTGAACACCCTTCCTATAAACGGAGAATTGCCCACATTATGGGTCTCTCCTCCCCAAGGTGCAAGCCAGAAAACTCCCTTTCCCACGCTCGTTGGAGCTGGAGTGCAGGCACATGAAACAAAGGTGACTTAACACTAAGGAGAGAAAAGTGGGGAAGCAGTGACATGCAGAATGAATCCACTTTCCCGTGAGGGTGGCTGGAGAAGTGCTGGGATTCAGCGGCAGCAGGGGTTTTGGCAGCAGAGGTGTGATATGAGATGCCTGCATCCAGTGCGGTAGCAGGGGCGTCTTTGGCTGCTGTTTCTGGGCTCGAAGCCCCTGAGCCTAATTCTCAGCTCCTACCAATAGTTCCATGAGCTTTGCAATGTCCTCTAATAAATTCCTTCCTACTTAACCAGGCTAGAGGGACTTCTGTTTGCACTAAAAGCCCTGAATGAGTCACCCACTGCATCAGTCAAGAGTCTCCAGAGAAACAGAACCAATAGGAGGTAGATAGGTAGATAGATGGATAGATAGATGTAGATAGATAGATTAGATAGATGATAGATAGATGATAGATGATAGATAGATAGATAGATAGATAGATAGATAGATAGATAGATAGATAGATGATAGATGATATAGAGAGATAGGTAGATAGATGGATAGATAGATGTAGATAGATAGATTAGATAGATGATAGATAGATGATAGATGATAGATAGATAGATAGATAGATAGATAGATAGATAGATAGATAGATAGATGATAGATGATATAGAGAGATAGGTAGATAGATGGATAGATAGATGTAGATAGATAGATTAGATAGATGATAGATAGATGATAGATGATAGATAGATAGATAGATAGATAGATAGATAGATAGATAGATAGATAGAT